GGCTTTGTTGTTTCCAAACATCAGTTTTATTTCTCTTGAAGTTGAACCACAAACCAGAGATAAATGTTTCATTATCCTTATGTTACCTCTGATAACTATACAGAACCAAACCAAAGAGGAAACGGGGTGATGTCTTTTACTCTTTCACTCGTCTCCCAGGAGCTTCCACCCTTTCTCCAAGTAGAATATTACAACGTAGTTGCTACTTATCTACAGCAGTTTGTCTTTAGCTACAGTCTTCCACTCTGCCTGGGAGAAACAAGTAAATAAAGCCCATATTTCAAGCTTGATTTACTCTGATACCTACTGTGAAAGATTATGACTCTTTAGGGAAATAAAGACAGGGTCAGGGAATTAGTGTACATAATGGTCATTTTGATAATGGGCCAACAGATGCAACTGGAAACATACTGTACACAATTAAGCATAATGCACTAATGACAGGTTAGAGTTTTTATCGCCTCTTTGCGATCGAGCAGCAAATCCAAGTTTAGCAGTAATAAAGAGTTTATTGGTGCTAAAGCCAAAGATTTTCTGACAGAGGAAAGATTTTTCCTTTCATAACAAGAGTATTAAATCCTTTGTTTACTAGGCTCTAGAAAAGAGATATGCAAAGTGGTTGTCAGATATTTCTTAGGAAAAAGCCAATTAAAGGGTAATCGAGTAAAGGATGAGAATTACCATTTGACTTCAAATGTCTCCTCTTCTCCTGCTCTCTCCTGCCTCCACCCCGTAACAGCGTTGTGCCCCTGTGGACAGCTTCTCTTCCGAAGAACTTCAGAATCGCAGATAATGATCCAAATCTGAGCTTTTTTACTCATGAAAGTAGAGCAGGCTTGTCATATCTTAACAATTCTGTATTTTGTACTGTAGCAAGATCTCCTCTGTATTTTGAGTGCTAATTGAACTCACTAACCGCATACCTGAAATACAGATGAAAATGAAACAGAATTAGTGAAGTAAAGCAAAATGGTGCCTGCAGGGCTGATGCAGGTTTCTGTCCTCTCTCCGGTTTGAGTGGGACGTTGGGAAGATCTTATTTGACAAAGGGGTGGAGGCTGCTTGTCACTGCAGGTTTCGGCTGAGTTCCTTACCAGAGATCTCACCTATCATCAGTGCAGATTTTGGTTTAGGGTGTTGTTGCCAGGACACTCGGTATCTGAAATAAAAAGAAATAAACATTTGCTAATGTGCATGAATGAGGCTTCTGCTTGGGGTCTGGTAGAAATATGCTTTAGTAATGATGTTTCTAGGATGTAATAGGTGGTTTTCTGCCACAAATAGTCCTTTAGCCAAACAATATTTGAATCGGACCAAACTAAAGCCACTGCTTGTGCTTATAATACCAAGTATTTTCTCGCTTAGTGTTGAAATTCAAGTACAAAAGTCTTTCTGGTCTATTTGCTACAAAAACCTCCTCTCAAAAAGGTTAAGAAGAGGTGAAAAGGATGAAAAGGCACTTGTAGGGTTTAAAAAAATCTTCTATGGAAAAAACATCTTTCATATCACAAAAAAGTCTCCCCTAGGTTGTTATGTGCATAAGGTGGAGGCTTAAGAGCAGACACATTTGCAGATGAACTGCTTTTACTAGCTTCTCCGAGACATGACATTTGTTCAGAAGATTAGCCAGGTTGTAATGTGTAGCATAATTGCACTGTGCGGATGTCCCAGAAGTGAAAACCTAATTGCTTGACAGGCCTATAACTTTGTGGTACGCTCTCACCTTGTTAGGTCCTTTTCTGATGCAGTTCAAATGAAGTCTGGCCGCAGGTGTGCCTAATTTACCTCGCAACAGAACGTGTTGAGTTTAATTGCACAGTGGTTGTTAGGAAAAATTGGTGGGTGGAATATCAAGTGACTTACTGTACGGGGATGGCAGATGGGCGTTGAGAGGCATCGCGAGCTAAGTGTATAGGTGAGGTGAGTTAATAAAAGATGTAAATTTTATCTTAAAATAGTGGAGTCTTGTGGTAGGTAATACATTTTAATTAAGATGGTAGCAGTCCCCTTTCTAGCAGCATGAAAAAAATCAGAGCAAAGGAACATCACAAAGACTGCATTTTTCTCCATATCAGTATTTTAGCAACAGCTTAGTATGTTTAGGAAGGCTATTCTGCAAGACTGTGTTTATTAAAAAGACTGCATTTGTGCGTATAATGCAAAATATAGCAGGGAGAGACAAATCTAGAAAGGCTCGCTTTCTCATTCTGTTGGTAGCAATGAAGTTTGAGACATGACCAAACCAAGCTCTGATCCAGCTCCTCGCTTCTTACTGTGTCACAGCGATCTTGCCTTGGGTGCGCAGGATCTCAGAGGAAGCATCTGGTCCTGTTCTCTCTGCGGTAGGGATGGGTTCGTCGTGCCCGCGGTCCTTGTTGGTCAGCTGCGAGGAACGATAAAGTCAGTCGTCTTCTCCTGGCAAGCTTTGAGAAATGCCCTGCCTGGAAGCATGGTTTTTAACTTGTGTTGTCTTCCTCTGAAAATCTTGTCTTGGTGCCACCTGTGCTCTGAAAACACAGATTAAAAAATAAAATAAAATATCTCAGTATCAAGGAATGCAGCAGAGCTGAAATATGAGTGCTGCTTGTGTTCACCCCAGCCTTGTGGCTTCAGTAGTTAGTCCAGTGTTCAGGGTCATCCTGGTAAACTTGAAAATGTCTAATTCCACCAGATGTGGGTCCTTTTCACCAAATAATTGAACAAATACCAGTTCCAGTTGATGTTTAGTGAAAGGATGCTTAATGGCCCTTTTTTTTGACAGGATGCAAGCTCTCTATATAGAAACAATTCATCACGAATGCTTCACGTTAAAAACAACCCACGAGGAGCAATACTTAGCATTCCTAGTGCACAATTCATTGGAGAATTTCAGAGCAATTTACAAACATTAGCTCAATAAGCCTCACAACACCCATTTGAGATCAGAAAAAAAATAGATAAGATGCTCCTCTTCAGCCTGACTGTGGCACTGAGGAGCTGTAAAGCTGGAGGCTCGCCCCAGCTCCCGACTCTCCAGTGCCTGGTGGTCCCGTACTGACGTGGGCATCAGCCGGTGCTTGCACACCATCGCAGTCCATGCGGTGGAAGGTATGCAAGAAAGAATAGAAGTATGACAGAAATGCCGTTATGTTTAGACTATACTCAGTTGATCTGGGGACCATAAGTATCTTTAAAAAAACGACAAAACTAAGGCAGATAAAATCAGGGTGAGGCGTGGCTGACAAAGGTGCAGTTTTGTGGAGTTGCTGATAGTGTCCCTGCAACAGTGTCCAGAAAACCTGAGTTCAAGTGAGCATCCAAGCTAGGAGATCACATCAACCACCGCAGAAATCCAGCTCTCTTTCAGCTCAACAGCTAACCCCCCTTTACAGATTTTTGGGATAGGAACTTCTAAAGAAATGTGCATTCAGCTGAACTGACAGTATCCATTTATTTATGCACAGTTTCAGTAAACCTCGCCGTTTCCCTCCTTGCCTCTCTAATATGAGAGATTGCTCCTTCAGTATTAGCACCCCGTATTAATATCAGGGTCCTGCTCAAGGTTTATCTGAAAAGGAAGAGCTGTGATTAAGAGCACTCATTTGTGATATGGGGATGGGCCTCTCTAAGGCTCCTGTCCAACCCCCGAGGCTCTGCAGGAGCGAGCGCGATGCGGTGCAGCCGCAGTCATAGCTTCTACCGGCCGCCGTTGGGCCGTGGTGGGTTCTGAAGAAGGGAAGAGGCCTGGCTTGCCTCATGCCAGGAATGCTCTTGGCACACGGGAACTTCTCTGAGGTGTATACAGTGAGAACAGTCACAGTCACTTGTAAAGATTGACATGAAGAAATTATAATTGTTCATCTTCTAAATGTAAAAGCTCTGCCTAACCTTGCTATTCAACGTGTATAAAGTTGGGCAGCACAAGCTGCTGGGCTGGCACATCTGAGAAACTCTGTGTGAGGAGAAAGTCCTGAGCCTTGCTTGTCATTAGCTGTCAATTGTTAGCTGAAAACCAGACCTATAGAACTTTTGTTTAGTTATAAAATGTGAAAACGTAGCTACATAAAGAAAAAAGGAGGCGTTAGGCTGTGAGCAGCCTCCTGCACGAGGGCAGGACGGCCGGGGTCCCCCCATCTTGCATAGCCTGGAGGGTGGAGACATCCCCTATCAGCTCCTTCCTCCACTGCAGGAGGGCAGCATAAAGGAGTTTGCACCTTTCCAGGCTTTTCCCCTTCCTATAAGTGCTTGCTGTGTTCCCGGGAGGCAGCGTTGCTACGAAAACGGTTTATGGGGAGATGCCTAGATGATAAGGGTTAGTCCTAAATAATTGCTGGTTGCCGCTCAGCAAAAATAAGCTGGATTTCCATCCCCGGGTAGAGTGACACCTCACAGTTAAAGGCTGGCAAAGGTTGAAGAGGTCGTAAGACAGGGCCTAATTTGCCATATTCCTTTCCTTTCAAAAACAATGAGGGAACCGGGGCCTTGCCGGTGGGCAGATCCCGCCTGGATCTCCCTGGAGTCAGCAGGAGTTGGATCGAGTCCCTTTGAATAGCGAGAGTTTCCAAACCGGAGGCAAAGCCAAGTGTTTTTCAGAAGATTGATCATTCATTACCTTGGAATTTTTCGACGTAGAGGTCATTACTGCTAATATAAGTTGTGAAAAAATAAAATGTATTAAAAAAATAGAGACAAATTCTCATCTGGTGTAAGTCATTGCCTTTGAAGTCAATGAGTCATTGAAATCAACTTTCCCACACTGAGCTAAGGATATGGCCTGGAGTCAATACATTTGTAGTTGTTGAAAAATTAAAAATATAAATTTGCCTTTCCCTGGCAATAATGTTCTGTTTACGACAGAGATCTTATGCTTTAAAATAAGTTCATTAACTAATAGGAAAGTAATATTTCACTACCAGTATTCTTTTGGGTATAACTATTTATGATTAAATTTTATTAAACTTTTTAAAAATTGGATTTACATTTTGATGAATCTAATAGATTTCAATTTTGTATTTTTATAGATTCTTTCTAAAGTTTTTCCTCAAGTGCAATCAGAACTGTTTGAAGAATGCAGGCAACCCGCGAGACATGCGAAGATTCCAGGTACAGATCCCTTTTAAAGAATAAATGATAAAGACTTACTCACATTTTCATCTTGAACTTTTTAAATGAAAAAACAGCATCAGTGCTTCTACTTAGTGTAGCTCCAACGCTGCGTGCCTTTAAAAAAGCCACTGTCGGTATTTTACATTTCCCCCACTAATTTAAATGCTGGTTCTTGGGACTCGCCGAGTTCTGCAGTGGACGGTAATGGAGCAATGCTGAAGCGAATGGGTCTCTCCTCAGAAAGTATTTCCACAGTTTCCCTTCATACTAACACCTTGTGTTGTAGCGTGGCATGTGCTCAGACCTGCGGAGGTTTTACATATGTGGATGGAGTAGCAAAATCTTACTAACAGACGTGACCGTGGAGCGCAGGGAAGTTTGGATCTCACACAGGGGCTTTCACATTCACAACTTGTAAATCCAACAGTGGTGGTCCAACCACATATTTCTCTTCCAATTGTGTTAGAAAATGTTTAATACTTCACTTTCTCCTTACAGCTTTTGAAATATCCTGTGGTGAATCATAACACTACAGAGAGACAGCTGACGTGATGGACAAATGATTTCCTCTGTATTCGGGGTCATTTGAAATGCTTGTTAGGAAATATATGCTTTATAGTTCAAAATATTTCACGATGATTCATATTTGAGACTAATAATAAACTAGTCTTGAGATGTTCAAAACTTTCTTATTTTTGAGAGGAATAACTTGTGGTTAAACTTGATAGCAAAACATGTGACATCTGTTTTCATGCACAGCCAACCAACCGGTGAAGCCAGAACCCTTGAGCCAGCCAACAGAAAAGATCTGTAGCTGGAAAAAATATTTCTTCAAAACAATTGAGCCAAGCTTCCATTTTTCATGCATCTCAGCTTCACGTGGCATTGGTGTTATTGATCCATCTGAACAGAACAGAAGGTCAAACCTGGAATGAGTGGAAATGTCCTCTTTGTCTCACCGATGACTAAATGAAGCATCAGTCATGAGTGATCTTGTGGTCGACAATGGAGCCAGTAGGCACTAGAAAGACTTTCCTGGGTCTCTTTAGCTAATCTCCCTGCCTCTCAGAAGGTTTAACTGGACTTAACAGTATGTCAGATCTTGAACAATATTTTTAACTGGTTTCACTGTCTCAGCACCTTTCTTTAGGTGCACTGCAAGAATAAGCCGATAGAACAAAGCATAGCATGTCTACCTTCTTTTGCTGAACTACAGTATTTTCCCTTGGTGGCTGACCTATATATACACGACAGAACAAAAATAGTTGTCATTTTTATATACACCTTTCTCTGTCTTTTTAGTCTTTACCGTGTTCTAGGAACCATATCCAGAAATCTTTGCTGAAAATCACACTTGTATGTTTTGCAATATTTCTTAAAGTCTGCGAATCTCATTAAAAGTGAAAGCAGATAGCCCAGTGGCCTGGCAGCAGCTCTGCGGCCGAGGTGAGTGTGCAACCTCAGCACTCTCCAAAGTGGATGTTGACAAGAGCAAAAGTGTCCACTTCTGGGAGGAGAAAGGTAGGGAAGCAGAGCAGCCTGGCAGAGAACTGCCCTCGGGCTGTTCTAAAGGGTACCACAGATGGCTGTCTCAAAGGAGGCAGGATACACAGAAAAGGTGCTGTGATAGCTGAAAGCTAATTATGGGTTGTGAATAAGAAACAGGATCAGAGGTGATCCAAAACATAGAAGCAGACAAGAATTTTCTTCTGATGCCTTGGACCAGCTCTGTGCAAAAGGATGCTAGTTTTCCCCCTTCCATTTTTGTTCATTAAGTGTTTGGGTATAGGAGCTGGTGTGAGAACCCTGGCATTCATTTCTGTTCTATCCAAAAGTAAAATAAGTGGAAGGCGAAAGCTGAAATTTGTACTAGCTTTTGCCACTGCCACCAGTAGGGTTGATAAGGCCTAACTTAGCCATTGACTGTAAGGCCCCTACTAAGGTTAAACCCCAAAGAAAATGCTGCGGTGATTACTTCATTTAGAAAATCTGGAACCCCCACCACAGGGCTCAATGCTGGAGTATTTAAATAAGATGTAAATGTCTGTCTGGGATAATAGCGATCGACCTATGGAGCCGTGTTCCGTACAAGCACAGGCGCATCTCACGGTTTCCTCTTTGGCTTGTGTTTGTGCAATATCGTTTCCGGAAGGAGTTTCACAACTCCATTGTGTAGGTGTTTTTATCGAGAAGGTTGTGCGTTTTGCATATGTTCCTTTTCCATTTTCTACTGAGAAGCAGCTGGAAGCCAAAGAAGGCCCTATCCATCATCTCTTCTATGGCCGGACTCTGAACCTGGACACAAGAATAGGAGCCTTTCACTCAAAAATAAAGGAGGAAATTCCATTGACATACCAGGGTCAATCACCATCCAAATGAACTTGAGAAGGGATACTTTTCATGGATTGAAAACACTTTCACTATTCATATTCAACTCGGTCTTTTCAGATGCAAAAAAGTTCATTATCAGACATTAAATGTAATTGTAAAACTGACCTGGAGATCATTTACTGAAGAAAAAATGGGGAGTTACGATGGTTCCTGATTTATTAAGCTTTTTTTATTTGGAATCCTCACAACCCTTCATTTGAAGACAGTCTCAAGTGAACAAATTTTAATTAGATAAACTATCTAATCAATATATCAACAGATCAATCAAAACAGCAGCTTTTAAAATGAGTGGCTAGAGGGGTGTTTCTGAAACTAATGGCTAAAAGAATATTTCCCTGAATTGAATTCATTTGTTAGCATAATAGGAGATTAAACTCTAATTAGTGTAGCAGGTTCTGAAGAGAAACAATTGTGAGTTAAAAATCACCAGTGTTAGCCACATAAACAAAGATGTGTTCATAGTTGTCATTCACTTCCTTTGCAGCGAAGAGTAACAGGCTGTGGTGGTGTTTTGGCTTAAAAGAAGATCTGATTCTGCATCTATGCTTGTGAAAATATGCAGGATTTTTTAAACGTTGTTCTTTGTTTTCTTTTTCAGGTTGTTGTATCAACAACAGTCAATGTGGATGGCCACGTGCTGGCTGTCTCAGACAACATGTTTGTACACAACAATTCCAAACACGGGAGGCGGGCTCGCCGCCTTGACCCCTCAGAAGGTACGGCCCCTTCTTATCTGGAAAATGGTAGGCACACATTTACATGTCTTTTTTTATTTGCAATGCTTTTTTTTTTTTTTTTTTACCATACTTTCTGTTGATACACTACTACATTTACTTTTACATAATTTTTTCTCTCATCCATCAAACCACCCATTAAAAAAGTCCATTAGTATTGCTCAGCCCTTGTCAACCAGAATACGGTTGCTCCTGAATTTGCTTCTGACTTCTTTCTTTATTTAATACTTACAGTTTTGCAGTCACAACCAATTTTTCATCTTTTCTTTTTTTTTTTTTTTTTCAGTCTTGTTTTGCTTGCAGCTTTTTCTTGCTATTTAATTTGACTTGATTTTATTTTGGCTTGTCATATTCCTTGATCCAGAGGTACAGTCTCAGGTTATGTATGCAAGTTTAAGTGGATGGTAAAACCATGACCGAATCTGTAAAGAATTTACTGTGAGGTCAATTTCCTGTGGCTGGGCCTTACTGCAGATTACGGCAGGAGGGGGTTTGTATGAGAAAAACAGCATAAAATGTTTTTCTTCAGACTGACTCAATGTGATTGACTTCTTGCCTGAACTGCTAAAAGAAGATAGTCTGAGATGAAGAGGAGAATGGAAAGTGTCTCTGAAAATCCAGAATTGTGAAATACTATCTTTCTGGAGCCCATCAGCCTCCGAATCACTCGCGCACAATTGCAGCTGCGGTCGTACACGTGCACACATGTATTTATTCTCCCACAAAGCCCCAAATAATCATTTAGATTTAAATATCACTTTGTTTGCACTGTAAAATGCACCAATGTAAGGATACAAACCAGCTCTCAGGTAACCTGTTTTTAAATAAAATTAGAGTAGAGTAGAGTAGAGTAGAGTAGAATAGAATAGAATAGAATAGAATAGAATAGAATAGAATAGAATAGAATAGAATAGAATATTTCAGTTGGAAGGGGCCTACAATGATCCTCTAGTCCAACTGCTTGACCACTTCAGGGCTGACCAAAACTTAAATGTGTAGGGATCAAATGCATCTTCCGTTCTTAAAGAGTTAGAATTCTCCAAACCATCGTGGTTTGACAGACGGCCGCGTGGCCAGGCCACGCACATCAGTTTCCATGGGACTCCTCTTGCGAGTTGTTGCTAACATATTGACAGGATCATGGCTTTTTACGCTAATAAAATTAATTAAAGTAATAACAGAATACTAAGCTGCTAATACAATCATTGTCATTTTACGTTTCAAATAGTATTTACCAATGGGCACACGGAGAACTGAATGAGGCAAGCAACAATTATCAGAAGGAAATACGATCTAGACATCAAAAAATGGAAAACGATTTACAAATCTGCTGCAGTCCACACGCACAAAACTAATTTGTTTTTCTGCATTAATAACTAAGGTATAAGAGAACAAAAATATAATAATTAAAGGTCGCCCTGAGCACCAGAGTCATTATGGTCTATGACGTATTGTTTATCTCTTTCATATGCACTGAAAGTAGGTGTGTGTTTTGCCTAGCAACCATCACTAATGAGGTTCACAATTAAGAAGGCTGAATCCTCTCCCCTAGTCCTCTCCTTCCCCAGAGAGCGAGAACTAGCAACATTATAGGTTCAAGTAAGCATGCTCAGCCCTGTGGTGTTAGGTTTTAGTCTAGGTCCAAATTCAGCCTCTTCTAATGAGCTATTATGATCTTAGCAAAATACAAGTATTTATTTTTGTAAGCTGCATGAAAAGAATTTGACTCTAAGCAGAAAATATCACTTAGAAAAATAAAGGCCACTTTTACATGCTACAGAAAATCTACA